TATCATACTCAATATCATCCAAACATGATGTATGCAGTCAAATGGATGATAAAATATCTAACTGATTAACATAGGATATTAATTAGATAATTCATAATTAAAATCAAAAGCATATGAATTTCATTATGGTAAGAGCCTAGATGCATCATTATAAAGTCACCTTTGGGCTAACAATACGACATGAGCAGTAATATAGTAGCAATATGAATTCTTGTTACTGTATACTATAAAATGTAACTTCTTCTTTTATCACAGTTCATCAATGCGACATTTCTTGAAATGTATAAGTATCAATATTTCATTGCAAAACTGTCGCAGATAATCCAAATCCGCATTATTTAAACAATATAAATAAACAAGATCTTAAACTCATTTTCTTTTTCAATAAAATACAATTACTTTGAAGTAACTAATATTTGGTAAACACATTTAGCATATATAGTAAGCACGTGCTCGGACAAATGATATGCCTAATATTTTTATATAGTGATATTGCTTTAAGAAATAGTTGATGTAAATATATATATATATATATATATATATAGTAAGCGCACAAATAATATTGACATTTAAATACACAAACATTTTGACGAGAATATAAAAGTCGTCAATCAAATTATTGCTATATTTTAATTGAGTCAATTTTAAATAGAATTTTAATTGGGTCAAAAATTAAAATTCTAGGGTCAAAATTTTAAAAGTTCAAATTATAAAACCCCTTTTGAAAATCATGTCTTGACCCTAAAGTTAAAATTAAAACTAGATCCTTTAAAATCTCAAATTACAAGTAGGCCCTCCTTTTAGAATTGCAAGTTTCAGCCCAATCGCTTAATTGTAGATAGGGGCCTCTAATCTCACAAATTACAAAAGAGGCCCATCCACAAAACTACCACAGCCGACCGAAATAGGCCCTGAATCCACCACCCATTTATTTCGCCTCCAACGGCATCAATTCTCAACTTCACAACAACAAAAATATGTAAACAAGGAACAATTAGAAATTAAGCATTTAATACAACACAAAATCAATTCACATATGCCATGTAATGCTGCATAATTTTTTTTTTATTTTTTGCAAGATTTTAAGGGCCTTTTGGTGTATTGAATTTGGGATTGCTTTTGTATATTCCAGCCAACAACGCTGCCGACGACAATTCAATGGAGGGATGTTTGCTTTTGTTTGTTCCAATTTCTAGTGAACGGGTGGTGGCTTTGAATGAAGTGCATTAAATGGGCTCTGGGATTAATTGAAACTAAAAACACATCACGTGTCTAAAATTAGTTTATATGCCACTTTTTGCCATCCACCAAAATTTGAAACTTTTTTTTTTTTGTTCGTTTGTTTTATTGTTTATTGTAGAATTTTACACTTCATAACTTGAGAAGTCAGATGAACTACCGACAAATATGGGCTCAAAAATTGAAATTTCTTGAAAGAGGAGGAAAAATTGGAAAACAAAGATACAAAAACTATGAAGGATTTTTATCTTAGCACGTAGACTCTGATATTAATTGTAATCATGCTAAGAATTGAGAATCACAAAATAGTAAACTAATAAATCGAATTCATACCTGCGAAAGCTATTGTTGACATGAATAATAATAGCAAGATCTTCCCCTCCTTACTTCTAACAAAGTATTAACCATCAATGGGACAAACTAATGAAACCAATATGGAGAGGAGAGGGGATCTAGCTTTTATATAAGAAATTATTGAACCGTCATATTATGACTGAAACTCTAATTAGAGTTTACATATATTTTCGGGCCACATACTTAAAATTAACATATTATATTAAATATAGCTCGTAAGGTGTAAAATGTCCAATTGATTACTTAATAAATTTGGTTCAATCACAAATATTATTATGAACCATATATCTAACCCGTAAAATAAATAATCAAATGTGAAACTCATATTATAATATTCCAACAACTTGTAGTTTTATTTACTACTGTGCAAGACTATTCGGAATATAGCAGAGATAGATTCAAATTAACATGTTTCGAGAATGGTAGTGATTACAAAAGTAACCATGAGCTAATAAAATACCTCACTAGAAAGAATACTCCACCTATATGGAATGGATAGAAATCGCCAGCAATGACAGACCTTGCTAATTAGCCCTCGTTTGAGTCACATTTTTTCTAAATCTCATTTTCTTTAAAATTCATTTTTAATTATACATTCTTCAATAAAATAATTTTACACGTAAATCGTAAACTTTTTTTTTAATTTTTGAACACACATTCTTCAAAATATTAATATTCCAAAATGAGGATCAAACAATGACTTAATAAAAAACCGACTTTTGGGTTGTTACCATGAAAAGGTTGGGGACAAAATTGCTACCAAACGCCTGATATGAAAATGAAAGTAGTCAAAATACTTCTATAGGATCGACTCAATTTTAGGAGAAATGCTACAGAAACATAAACAAAAAAATAGGTTTAAAATCAATGGGGGCATGTGTTGAACCATGAATGGACAATTTGAGAAATTTTAAAAAACACTTGCAACTCAATCCCCGTTTGGCCCTCATTTTTTTCAAATTTTAATGTTTAGAATTATATTTTTTGAAGAATGTTCGGTTGAAAAAGAATTGAAAAGTTTTCGATTTACATGTAATATTATTTTATGGAAGATTATGTTCTTGAAAATAAAAGAGAAAAAATGAAAGAAAATAGGGGCCAAGCAAGGGCTCAATCTGTCCCAACTTTTGCTATTTTTAACTAGGGCTATCACTGGATTGGATTTTGAGTCGAAAATTCAATCCAATTTGAATTCGATGAAATTAATGGAAGATGGATTTAGAGTCTCAATCCGATAACTCGATTGAGATCCAAATATGATAATCCATTAACTAAATGAATCAAATATGAATATAGGTCAATCCGATCCGATAACAACCCAATTCGATTTATTATAATAATATATTATATTTTTTATATTATCACATAATTTATGACATTGTTTTTTCTATTTTGAAAATTGTATTATACTTTACACTTAATTTTTAAATAATAAATAGTATAATATTTTTAATTAAAAATTATAAAGAAATTTAATTTTTTTATTAATTAAAATAAGATAAAACTAATAATTAATTTATTGATTAGATTTACTATAGTAGTTTGTTTTGTGACATAAAAAACTAACAATTAATATGTTCAAAATAATTAACTTTGTTCAAATTGATATTGCTTATAATTAAAATCTTATTGATGCTATGATTTTTAATGAAAATAATAAAGTAAACTAGTAAATACTTAGAATTGACATCTGATTATAATTAGTATTCCACATTGAAAGATCACTAAATCATTGGAAGGGGAGAATCCTTTAAAAAGCTAGTATTCCACATTGAAATGTTACTAAAACATTCTAAGAGTAGTATCTTTTAAATGGGAGTTAAAAAGAGCATCACTTGGATAAAAAAAATTGATTTGGGTCTTCTAATATAATAAGGGAAAAATTTGTATGTTAGGTGTATTGTTTATACCAATTCACAAATCAGGTACAAAGTTTAAAAATTCAAAATTCAAGTTTCTGTATAATTAATTGAAAATATGTATTAATTAAATATAATAAAGTCACAGTTACACGATTAATGGTCACAGATTCATAATTCTTTGTCACAAATTTACTTATTGATCACATATCATCGAGTTAATTGATTATAGATCATTTCGAAGTCACAAATCAAAAAATTTGTAGACCACAGATTATTTTGATGTCACAAATAAAAAATTTACAGGTCACAAATTATTTCACTAATCACAAATCAAACAAATTACAAGTAACAGGGTCACATATTCTAAATAGTTGGTCACATGAACCAAATACCCCCACCACCGATCCTGATCCAACGCCAATCTTGGTCACAAATCATCGCCGTGCAATTATCGCTTGCACAACACCATCGACTGCACTGCACCAATCTACAACCTTCCACAATTGCAACCACAACATTGGCACACACCACTGAACAAAATTGCGAGTCACCATAAGCCCACTAGCACTACCACAATGTCACCAACACTGAAATTGTCGAAGCCACCGCTAACATCACAACCCCACCACCGCCACAACCACAATCAACACAACCCAACAACACAACACAAACTTACCCCATCACCACAGGGAAATACCCACAATCGACACCACAGAAAAATACCCACAACTGACACCATCTCACAACCATCCCTAACACCATCACCACCAAACTGCCACCAACAATTGCAAAACACAAATCAACGATGGTCTTGGAGCATCTTACTCCTTTTTCCCTGTAGCCAAACAAAACTTGAAGCTGCGGTGATGATCTAAAATGGGGATCTCAGATCTGTGAATTGTCCACGGACAGTGAAGAGCATCATTGCGGTGATAAGAGGTCAGCAGCATCTTTGCACCGCTATTCCCACCACCTTCCGCACGACACCGCTTAAAGTGTCGATCAATCGATTAGGATTGCGAGGAGTTGAGAGAGAGAAGATGTCGGTGTGGGAAGAGAGACGGGATTGAAAATTGAAAATGGGAGAAATGATTAGGGTTTTTAATTTGAATTGGAGATTAATTATATATGGTACTTGAGTTTTGCATAAATAAACTTCATCCTTGAATTTTGAATTTGAAAGTTTAAGTACCTTGTTTTATGTAATTTTCCCATATAATAAATTAAGCTCATCAAGATAGTTCAAATATTTTTTAAAATAAATAAATAATTAAAATCTTGTTGGGACTATGATTTTTGATGAAAAAATAAATGGAATTTTTATTTTTCTAATTTTTTCAATTTCGGATAGGTTATCGGATCGGATATTCAATAATATAGCTAATTGGGTTTGAATTTAACATTCAAATATCCGTCGAATTTTCGAATCGAATCAGATGATTATTCTTAACGAATCGGATTGAATTTGAGCAGATCCGATCCACGTTCGATCCATTGATAACCCTATTTTTAATCTAGTTAAACCATCATTTCCCTTTACGACACTCTGATGCCTTGGCTTTGACGGGAGTTTCTGTCACAAAAAGGTGTGCGCATCTGTGCTAGATTCCAGTGAGTGACAGCTGATTGCTTCCTTCTTCTCCCTGGCTAAGATTAGGGTTTTATATTCACCTTTTCTCCAATCCCTTCCTTGCAATTCAATCAACACCAAGCACCAGGGAGATCGACCTGGCGCTTACGTCTTAATCACTCATTCTTCTATCTTGAGAATTTTTGCTAATATTGATAAAGCAGAATATTTGACAAAAACGGAATGGGAGATGTGTGGGCATGGCTGCTTTTTTTCTTCACGCTTATTGCTTTGGTCGTCATACTTGTTTACCAGGTTATTCCCACCTTAATTATGTTATTTACGCTATTATCCAATAATGATGAACCCTGCACAGGAATTTTTGGATTGTGCTTCAAATTTTGCATATTTATGTTAGATTATTCTATACTTTCACGTTTGCTTTTGCTTTTGATGTAAAATTTGAATTTTATACAAAAAGGAAAGCGACTTTGTATTGCAAGAAATTAATTTTATCGATTAACTGAATAATATTCTTATGTTTGCCTTTGCCAATGGACTAAAACGTTTTTCTTTTTGATATTATTTGCTTATGAATGTGAAGTTTGTGAGGGCAATGGTTTTTTGTAATGCTCCTTGAAAGAAGTCCTTTTTTTTGTTTTTTTAAATCAAATGAACTTGACGTTTTCTTTTTGCACAATTTGTGGTCCAATGGCTAATTCCTTGCTGCAGGGGAGTACTTCATCTACATTTGAACTTCTTTAAGATTGACATGGACACGTGGGTCAGTTCATCTGTTTCTGCATGGAATTTTCATTGAGTAGAGTTAGTGAAAATTCAGTGCGCAAATGGTAGCTGGATGAAGTTTTATCTAGAGTTCAAAATTTTGAACCATGTGATCTTCGAATCCATTGCCTTGAAGTTCTGACTTACAAGAGTTTTTGCATGATTGAATCTGTATGAATTTCAAATTTTAAATCTATTAAAGGTTGCATTTATGGCATGGAAATTAGTCCAAATAAGTCGTTCAAATTGCATTGTTTTGTAGTTCATTTCAATTCGCGAGGTTCAGTTTGATCCCACCAATTGTAGTTTTGGTAATCTGCCTTGGAATTGAAATTTGTTTAAGATACACTTTTGTGCTTTAACTTATTCCTGTTCCTTTTAAAAATAACTCCTTGCAAATTACAAATTTCATATTGGAGTATTATATCTTGGTTCGAAGTCATCACAATTTGCAGTTCTACTTCGTAAATTCAAACCCTTCAATTAAACCTAGTGTTAACTTGACTGGTTCTTCATTTGATCTGTGGACATGTTCAATATATTTTAATGCCTATTTCATTGTTCACATTACATTGGAGCCTAAAATTAAAATTTCCCTATATTGTTGACATTTTTCTTATAACCTTCCAATTTGGCCGGAAACTAAAATGTCTGAACATTCCAAGTATGTTGCAGCATCAGAGTTTATGTAGTAGCGAGGACAAGGGATTTAGTCTTGTACATATACAGAAATGCCGGAAATTAGCTATTTATTTTAAGTTTGTCTTGTACCGTTGTGCTTAGAGTTGTCAGGTGTCGACTAAAATATCCTTAGTTGTTTCCATGTCAAGCAAATGGGTTTAATACATGAAATCTGACTCTTAATATGCTGCGCAGCTCATGTGCTTGGCAGATCTAGAGTTTGATTATATCAACCCTTATGACTCTGCATCTCGAATAAACGGAGTGGTTATACCAGAGTTCATCACACAAGGGGTTCTGTGCTTTCTCTTCCTTGTGACAGGGCATTGGGTTATGTCACTTCTCAGTGTTCCGTATCTGTACTACAATGTGAGATTGTAAGTTCTTATTAACTTCTCGTTGAAACTGAAATTGAATTAACTCGCACACAGAGCTTCATTATTGTGCACTCTCATGTACTGGGTGATTGTTTCCATATACCTTGTTGCTCTCTTTATATGCCTTTCAGCTTCTTACGTATTGCATAGGGATCAAGCTTCCTTCTTAACTATTACTTTACCCTTTCTTTTTTAACTTCCATTTAATTTTGAAATATGTTGAGAATTCATTCAAATTCTGAAATATGTTCAGTATCATTCAGTTTTGAAAATATAGTCCTCATTTAACATCTGTATTTACTTGCGATCTATTTATAAATGAGTCAGAATTTTTTTTGCCCACATAATTGTTGATTTTTGGTCTGAGTATGAAAGTTCTAGAGCAGGTAAGAAAATAGACGGATTTGACGACTCGTAAAATTGGGTTTGGTTCATGTGCTAAAAGGATTTGTTGCAATTTAGATATATATTAGGAGAACCCTTTTTTATCTTAATTCGTCCGAACTGGTGTGAATCGCAATGATTGGAAAATTAGTTGAGTTGCAAATCAAATCGGAGGTAAGTTCAATGGGGCTATTTGACACCACGATGTTGACACATTCTGCATTTTATTTATACTGATCCAAGATATTCCCCCAGACAATTTTTCACACGATATAGTCTGGACCCAGGAGTAATTATACTTGCAACATTACTGTTGAAGTGTGACAGTTTAACTTTGGAGCACTAGTGGAAGTTACAGAACAGTCTTGAGCAGTTTAGGTATCCCATTGGCCATGGTTATATTAATGCCTTGTAAGATTCTATAAAACATCTAACCTGCTGCTTGCATATGGCTATTGGTTCATGGTACAAGTCGATTGTTTGTTTATAATCTACAAGTGGAATAGGATTATAGAGTAGATAGAACGAAAATATAATAAAAAGAGGGGAAAGATGATGTTTGATCTTGAAAGTCAGTCAAGGACACCCAATCAGCTATACTCGTAGTATAGATAATCTATGGCTTATGCTAGTTGGCGTTGATGTTATATCAGGATTGATCTGAATGTTAGTGCTTTATAGAGTTGAATTGGATTGTAGT